AACGCGGGCGTGGCGGTAACCGCGACCGTCCTGCCGCGATCGCGCGACATTAATTCTCATCGCCTGGCACGCGCCTCGCGCTTTGAGTCGGGCTCGCCCGCTCCGTGGCGCGCTGGCTGCGCTGCCGACAGACGCCCACGTCGCAAGTGGGGCCTCCGGTCCGCCCGCGGTCATAGCGAGACCACCGGTGCCGCGGAGGGCGCGCCCCCCTGTCGCGACTGCCGGCGCTGAGGCGCTGGCGCTCGCGGCCTGCTAGGGCCCGCCGCGTATGCCGCGAGTGCGCGCGCTGCTCGGTACATTGCCTCCCCTTCTTTCAGCTGACGCAGAAGACCGCTGCGCGCCTGATGCGAAGAACGCGCGGGCGAAGCGATCGCGGCAACCAGCCATCGCAGCAAAGACTTGCGCGCGAGATCAAAGGTCGCAGTCCGCATACCATAAAGCGCGGGCCAATGACTCTCGGCACCAGCAGTGCTCGCTCAATGCCGCACGACCCCGCCAAGCTCCGCCCAGCGCGCTCGCGCCGATCATGACGAAACCTTCCGGTCGAAGCTGCGCCAGCCACTGCCGCGACACCGACAACTCGCGCCGCGGGCCTCGCCTTTTCTCGAAATGACCGTACGCGAATGCGCAAACTTTCCCCTCGATCGCGCTTCCTCGTCCGTTGGCTCTGGCCCCGCGGAAGATTGCGCCGCGGTGCATATTGTCCGTCTGGTTGGGGCCGCCGAGGAGCAACCCAGCGGCGACGCCCGCGCACGCGAAGGGAAGCAAACAACGCATCGCACCGACTCGGCCACTTTGCGCGCGAGCGGATGTGCTTGGGTCGGTTCGATCGGCGCGGAAGCGCGCCCCCGTGCGCCCGCTGGCGGAGGCGGCGGCGGCGGCCGCTCGCGATTTGGACAGGCGTCGCTGGGCGCGGCGAGCACGCCGGTTCGACCTGCGCGCCCTCGCTGTCAGGAGCCAACGTGGAAGGGAGGGAGAGCCGCATAGACATCGGCGCTTGGACTCACGTCTCACAAGGCAGCGCACGAACCGCGAGATTGACAGCGCTGGCGACGGCGCCGCGCTTCCATCGGGCCCAGGCCCGAAACGTTGCCCCGCCCCCTCCTCGACTGCGGGGCTCGCTGGAACATCGGGCACTCTTGCGGCAGAATGCAACAGAGAGCTTTTCGCACTTGCGGCGGGGCTGGGATGGGGACATAGGACGCGGCTGCAAGGCATGATGGGGAAAGGCAAAGGATGCGAGCGGCTACTGGAGGACGCGTCGCCCGACCGATTCTGGACCCCACAGTGGAGGCTCGCGGGGGCTAAGAGTTATACTGATGGTTGTCTGGCTAATACTGAGCGCTCGCGAGGCGCGGGCCCAGGTGGAGCGGAACGCCTGGGCGCGCGTGCGTGCCCGCGGGGCCGCCCGCGCCACGAACGGCGCAGCGAGCGTTCCGTCGTTCTCGCACGGATCCTGCCGCACGCTCCCTTGCGCCGAGCGAACTCACGCGCGGGCCGGCGCCCAGCGCTGGTTGGAAGAATGAAAGCTTCCGCGGGCTACGGCAGCGCGCGCGCCCGCGCGTTGCCAGAGCGCGCCGATGGCGCGAGCAGTGCCCTGTCGGGACCGTATACGCGAGACGCGCGTGGGACGACGATGTTGACCTGTCCGCGCGACCCCGAGGTATCGTCCGATATTTCAGAAGAGACAGGCATCCCCGTCAAGTGAGTTATGATGGAGCCAGCCAGGCGCTGGAGCTCCACATCGCTCGCCGGGGATTTCATCAACCGCGACGCCGACGCTAACAAGCCCATGGCTTTCATCATGGGCTTGGCGCTTGGCTCGGAAACTTCATGTAATAACCGAACCAGCGCGTCGCGCGCCTTCCTCCCCCCGCCCCTAGACGCGGCGCGAGCTCTGATATTTCTTTTCTGAAAGCGTCCAGGCGAACGGTCTCCGCCTCGATGTCGGACACGTCTTGCCCGCTTCGCGCCGACGCGAACGCCGCTGCGCTCGCGCGTCGCAGCCCTCGAGCCGACGCGCGCACGAGATGGCGGCGCGCGCGTCGACCGCGGCGCGGCCCGCGCGAGGGAGCCGCACGCTGCGCGCGCGCGCCCCTGCGCGGAGGCGCGCCTTCTTGGGCTGGCGCGCTCGGACTGCCGAAGAACTTCGGAGAGGTGCCCGCGAATTGCATGCCGCCAACCCCCTCGCGCATTGCAGTGCCGTCGCGGCGGCGCGCCGCGTCTGCGACGCTGAGTGCGCGGCCGCTCCTCTTGCGAAGCGCCGAGAAACTGGTTCGCCGCGCGCGCAAACTTGGACGCCATGTCTGCGTCGGCTTCAGCCTCGCCGACGAGATGGGCAAGTCGACCGCGGAAGCTTTGCGCGTCTGCAAAGCCCCCCCCCCCGCGCAACTCGCCGCGCCCCAGGGCGCCGACCCCCTGGGCTGGGCGAGGCGCCGCAACACGCGGCGCCGAGCGGCTGCTCGTAGAGCCGCCATCTCGCGCTGGCTAACGACGCGAAGCGCGGGGCGAAAAGCAAATCTGGGCGTGCCCTGCGCTTCCTTGGAAGGCGCGGACGTCTGGCCCGCTGCCGCTCGTATCCTGCCACGCGAGCGAAGGCCGCGCGCGCGCGGCAACGCGGTCGCGTTGGTCTGACCCGCGCGGCGAAATCATATTGCACGCGCACGGCCTCGGCCAGGCCAGTTCGGGCGCTCGCGCAATCCACTTCGGGGCAGCCCGCGAGCGCCGACGCGGGGCGACCGCCCACGCCCTGCTCGGCAGCCGCAGCGGCGGCGCCATGGAGCTGCACGAGCGCAGCGGCGGCACACAACGCGCAGAGAGCCATGGCTGCAGCCCCCCCCCTCGGAAAGCGCAGGCCTAAAGGCAAAAGAACCTGCCGCAATTCCGCCCCGGGCCGCGCGGGCTGATGGCGTGCGCGAATTTATGTGCGCGCAGGGCGCTTCGCCCATTCGGAGTCGGACCCGCGGCGTAATCGTTGAGCTTCGCGCCTTAAATACCAGCGGCCGCCCTGCCTCGCTAGTCAAACGCTTGCGCGTCGCATCAGGCACTTGTCCCACATGTTGCTGTGTGCGTCCAACGCGCGCGCGCCTGCGTATGTCTGCGCGCTTCTTGCGGGTGGGCGAGCTCGAGGGGGCGGGGGTCGACTGGGAGCGGGATCCTGGTTTCCCTGAGCCACCGTCAATGCACTTCGCCCTGCGCCTCAAGAGATTTACTAAGAGCGTGGCCCAGAAAAAAAAAAAAACAGGTTGCGCTGTCGCACTGCACTCTATGCTGGAGTTGCATGCGCCTCGGCAACAATGCACCGCCTCGGCGAGCGGAGAAGATTCGCTTCCCCATCGCTGCAGACACGGGGTACAAGCTCGACACTGGGCGCTGCGTCCTGGGCGGCGTGCCCCTGTCCAGGATGCGTCGCGATGCGCCAGACTGGCGCCGCGCGCAATGGGCCCCTAGCACTGCTAGAATTGAGAGGTCCAACAGAGAAACACGTGCGATGTTCTGGCCCACAGCTCCTAAAACCAGAACGACAAATCCAACATCTCGGATCACCGTGAAATTTTCGCGGCTTGGCGCCGCGCCGCGCACGGCCGCCACTTCGCGCGTTTGGCGAGCAGCCGCGCATAATGCAGCGCTCTACGCAGCGCGCAGCGATGTGAGACCAGGAGGACGATGCGTTTCCTACAGGGACGCCAATGAAAGGGACTGCTGAGACCGCGGCGTTGCATCTCATACTGACTTCGAGAAGTGCGAGTGACAGCGTCATGCGGCGACCCTGTGAGTGAAGCCGAGCAGACGTGAGAAATCGGCATCGCCGGTCTCAAAAGTTCCTTTCCCTGGGGTCCCTGTTGGAACCACGCGAGAAGGCGCGCTAGCATCGGACTGCGGCAATGGAGGAAACCAACCATGGAACATACGCGCGCATCGCCCTCGCCCTCGCGCCCCGTGGCGCAGCGAGGCCTGGTCAGCAGGGAAGCGGTGGAACACGTTTTTCCTGCTCGGCTGCAGCCCCCCCCCCGCCCCCTCCCCATGCAGACGTTCGCGCTGCCGGCGCCGTCGCCATTGCCAACCTGGACGTTATTGCAACTACCTGCTGTGGGTGCTCCTGCTGACACCCTTGCGCTTCTGCTTCAACCTCCAATTGAACTGATTATGCTGCAGCCGACGCGGCTGCAACTGCAGCTGCAGCTGCGCCAACTGCGGTCGCTCATGCAGCGCACTGGCTGAGCGTTGTGCTCGCGCAGGTGAAGACGCAACTCGCGGCGGCCGGGTAACGACCGCAGGGCTCGCCGTCGCCGACTATATGTCGCCCCCGAAGTCATCCGAGGCACAGGACGGCATCGCTGCGACGAAGGCAACGGACACGGGGCCCCTCGAAGCCATCGCGCAGGTCTGCAACGAAGTATGACCAGTGACGTTCATCGTCGGCGCAGGCGCCACTTCCTTCGCGCGCGGCGCTGCCTGCGCGGCCACGGCGGCGGCCGCCGGCGCGGCGGCGTCGTCGCCAGAGGCCGTCGCGATCATGGCCGAGGACCTCGTCTTTGAGGAGCACTGCGGCCCGTTGCGCGCAACCAGGAACGCAGGAAGTGCCAGCTGGAATCGCTGACAGCCGCGCGAGCGCGCGAGGTCGACGGCGACCGCGGCGACGCGGACATTGATGTTTTCAGCATCGGCAGGAACTGCTGTTGGCATTCGCCTTTTCTTCTTTCGCGACTCGATTCTCGATTGGGCCGAGGCGCCCGTTGGGCCAGGCTCCCGCCCTAGCAATTCGAACGACCCGCGCCGCCGCGACCCGCAGGCGCTCGCGCGCGCGCAGCTCGGCGCGAGCCCTCGCCATCGCAGCAACGCTCCTGCCTTCCCGAGCACGAACAGCTACTCGAAAGCAGCGTTTTCACTCGCGATTGCCAGCTCCGTCGCCGCGCAGGCATACAAGTCGCGCGGGACACGTCGCGACCGATCGCGGGAACATTAAGGTGGCGCGACGTCGCAGCGCGGCGCTGCCATTGCCCGAACGCTCAGCGAGCTCCGCGAATTCTGCGCGGTGCCGGCGCTGGCCGGTGAATCGCAGACAACCCGGCCCGGCGTGGCCTAACGGAGCGGGCTCTCGTCGGCGGGCTCATCGCTCCCCAAGATCGGGACCCCAGGGGTCGGGGCGTCGTCGTACGACGCTGGGTCCTCCGCGGAGTCCATGCCTCCTGGCCCATGGTCGGGAACAGGGCAATCGCTCGGGAACGGGTTCGCCTCGTCGAAACTTGAATACTGCGGAGGCAATCGATGCTTCCACGGCGACGCCGCTTCGCCGCGCGCGGCACGTCCATCGACGGGCCAGGCCGTGTTCCAATAAAACGCTTGCGCACACACGGGCGGCACAGACACCATCGAGCACGGGCCAGCGACGTCGCTGATCCAAAACCCAGGGCACGTGATCAGCGGCAGGATGCAGAGGTGGAGGCACATTGGTGCCCGGCCGCCCGCGGCGATGGGCTCTTCGCCCGACTGCGGCACTGTGCATCGGGGAAATATAGAAGAACACTGCATGCTCATGAACGCCGAGAAGCACCTGCGTCGCCCGAGCAACAGCGGCCGATCTAGGGCGCCCCGCGGCGACGTCGGAGGCGAGATGCGCTGCCCCGCGCTCTATACCTCGGCCGACGGCGCGACCCGGGTCGGGGCCGAACCAGAAGCGCTTCGACGGAGTGTGACATCGCGTCGCCCGTCTTCCCCACCTTTTCCGCGTAAGCGGCGGGGAAGCCAGCAATGATGCCGTCCAGGGCGGAATCCTTCGGCCCCCGGGCGCGCCGGCGCGGGCTGGCCCAGCGCCGCGACGCGCGTCGTCGGGTCGCCGTGACGTCTGCAAGCACGAAGTCGGCCATGGTGATCTGGGCAGGAACGCGCCGGAGAGGCCGCGTCGCGGGCGATCGCGACCCGCGGGCCGCCGCGCCGGGTACAGGACGGCACCGAAACAAGTGTGGCCTGCGAGCGGGTACCCCGCCCCCGCGGAAGCCACCCCCAGCGGGGGATTCGAGCCCCGCGCGACGCGCAACACGAGCGAAGCAGAGAGCTAGCCCATGTTTTCGGAGGAGCACTGCGAACCTAGCAACGCAAGGCAACCCAGCACGACGCAGCGCACAAGAAACTACGCGCCGCAACGCGCGCCAAGCGCGCTGCGCGGCAGTGGGCAACAAAACAAATCGCAGCATTTAAAAACCACTCGCCGCAACGCGCAACAACGCAAAGCAACTCAATGATGCACGGCGACGCGTGAGGCACGGCCACCGAACATAAAGTTGCAATTCGATGCTAGTCAGAGCCACGCGATGGATTGCACTGCTACCGACCAGCCAGAAGCAAAGCAAAGACACGCAACGCAAAATTATGCATAGACTGACCATGCCAAACAATGCAAAGCACAGCAAGTCAAATCGCAGACTCGGAATGCATCGCAACGCGCAGCTACGCGACGCTTTCCAAAGAAAGGAAAGCGGCGAAAATGAAACCACGCAAAGACTTCGCGGCGTTGGAGGAGAACGCATCAAGGCATTGCGACGCATAATCTACGCGCCCACCTTAGCTACTAGACTGGGTCCGAGGGACCAAAAGCATTGTTTTTTGCTGGTTGGAGTGAACGTAAGGTTTAAGGTGAGAGAGAGCGGGTTTCCATAGGGAACAACATTGGGGCGGCTGGAGCCGCTCTCCCCCAAGGAGGGATGCATCCCCTTGACGGGAGGCCGACCGACCGAGGGGCGATGCATCCCTCTGGCCGATCCCCCCCCTTGTAACAGAGGGGAAATGCCTCCCTCATGCGCGACCAACCACGGAGGGGAGATGCATCCCTCATGCGCGAAGTGTCGCGCTCGAGGCTTCGTCGCTTCGCTTACCCTCTTGCCCCCCCCCAGCTTGCTGAATGCAAACCCAGGGCGGGAGGGTGGGAAAAATCAAATCGCAAGGTGAGCGCGGCCACCGCGGCCCGTCGCCCCCCCTTCCTCGCAGCCCCTCGGCGCGGGCAGCAAAGGGGGGGGGCGCCCCCCCCCTCTCTTCGCCCCTGCGCCCCGAGCTGCATGCGCGGGCGACGTTTCCAAGGTGTCCGCGCGCGTACATTATGAAGCACTCACCCATGCCTGCCCGGGCCTAAAGTGCACCCATAATCTACGCGCCCACCTTAGCTACTAGACTGGGTCCGAGGGACCAAAAGCATTGTTTTTTGCTGGTTGGAGTGAACGTAAGGTTTAAGGTGAGAGAGAGCGGGTTTCCATAGGGAACAACATTGGGGCGGCTGGAGCCGCTCTCCCCCAAGGAGGGATGCATCCCCTTGACGGGAGGCCGACCGACCGAGGGGCGATGCATCCCTCTGGCCGATCCCCCCAACGCTGCTCACCCCCACGCCCCGCTCGCTCACCCAACGCTGTTCACTTACCGAGCAACACAATGTATAACGGCGCGTCGCAGCCACACGTGGGGGCTACCCGCGGGCGAAGCGCCATGCGCTCTCCAAGCTGCCCGTCCAAATACGACTGTCCACGCCGATTCGCTTTGCTGGAAATCGATGTCGCCTCACAAACGCGTCACTTCCTAGCTGCCTCGAAATCCCGTCCGACCAATTGGTCCCCGAAGGCGTGAATTCCCACCACGTGGTGATCGAACGGCGGCTCGCCAAGAAATTAGTGAAAGCAATCGACCGATCCAGCGCGGCCGGCACCGCGCAGCCCTTGACGTACGAATGCAGAGAGCTGGTATTGTCTATGAAATACAGCACGCGGCGGTTTGCCAGCCGCTTAGCGTGGCGCTGGTAGATGATGGGCGGCATCGCGCCCTCACACAGCGCGATGGGCTGGCCGCCCTGCCTCAAGCGCTCCTCACAGTAGCCCCACATGCCCAGCAGAGCCCCGTCAAAAACGCAGAAGCCAGCTTGCCGATAGCCGTCGGCGCAATCTAACAACACGTACCCCCCTGTCGGCCACGCGTCATTGTCAGCGCGCGCGTCAGAAGCAATGAGAATCAAAGGCTCGCTTCTCGGCGCGATCTCGGCCACGCGGCTCGGCATGTCTTGCAGAATTATATAAAAGAAATCGAGGGCGCGCACCAGGCAGTTGCTCAGGGTCCAAGGCGGCTGATCTGTGTACTGCCGTTGCCTCAGAGCCCCCATGCCTGCTTTGCCCACGCCGTGCCACGCCGCTCTGGCGATGAAGTTGAGGAGGCCTCTCAACTTGCTGGCGTCTCCGGGCGTGAGCCTGCCCTCGCTGCGCCTCGCCGCAATGAACGTCTTCGCCTTTTCGACGAGAGTGTCGCGCGCCCTGAAAGATATGACATTCGAGTCCAGCGAAGGGCCGAAGGTGTGCACGACGCCCAGAAAATCGCCGGACGGGCTCATCCTCCTCGTCTTCGAGGGAGCCACAGGCGTGCCCAACTCCGCGCAAAGGCACTGTGCGGCCTCCTGACCAGCGCCCCCAGCTGATTCAAAATCAGTAATATTCGCGTCGTCCACATACATGGCAAGCAAAAGCGACAACACGCGGCGCTGCACTGCCTGCAGGAATCCTCCCCATCGCGCGAACTGCATGACTGACGCGGAGAAACCGAAAAGCAACGCCCACGCCACCTGGAACCTCCATTCTCCCGTGACAGGATCGCGGACCGCCACGACGTTCAAGCGCAAGTGATCTGGGTGCACTGGGACTGAGCGATAGGCCGACGGCAAATCTTCGCCCCCCGACACGAGCCTCTCGCGGGCCACGTCGGCACCAGCGTCCGCACACGCTTGCCGGACCACCCTCGCATCGATGACAGGCTGGAATGGCGTACACATTCTTTGCCGCTCACAAAATGCCGTCGCTTCGTTCTGCCTACCCCGACGCCCGTCGTCGATTCTCCTCCTTTTTCCAGAAGGCTGAATATGGCAAAACGCAGGAATCGGCGCCCACTGCCCCGCGCCGAACTCCGCATCAATGTCCGACTTGCTTCGCAGCGGTGCCGCCCAGCCTTTCTTGCACTCTTCCTCGCAGCTATCCCAGAGAAATTGGCCCTCCTCACTCGCGCGCTGGCGATCCAGTTCCGCCAGCAAGACTTTGGACTCTCCAAGCAGCGAGTGCACGGGCATGGGAGCTTCATACTCGGATGGTTCAAAAGCACCCGTATTCTCCATTACGCCAGTGATGCCAAAGCCGGTGACAAAGCGCAACGCCAGCTTTTGGTCTGGCCACCGCGCGAGCACCACCAGCACGGCAATGAGTCCGGCGTGAATATGCCCCGCCACGGCGCGCACAGTCGGACTCTGCCACTTCAAGAGCTCCGCCGTGAGGGGCTTGCACCGGCGACTAAGCTCTTGCAGCGCGTGCATGCTGCGCAACCGAAACTCCCTCAAGTCGCGCAGCTCTGCGGCGGTGGACTCCGCCGCAAATTTCAAGTCATGCGGAGCAGCAACGTCCTCATCGAACGGTAACTTCCCCCGCTTCGCGAAATCAACCGCGGCGCGGAAATGCTCTTCCTCATCCCGGCTGTGGCCCAGGAGAGGCGGCAACGCGTGCTTGGCCGAGAGCGCCCCGGCCTGTCGCCCCGCCGCGGCTTCCAGCATGGCAGACGTGCCCTGGCCTGCCGTGCTGCCAACTGGTCCAGCGATGCTGCGCTCGTCTAGCCACTTTGCGAAATCCACGAACGGCGACTGATTGACTAGATCTTCCAATGACGGAAAAACAAAACTGCTCAGCCATTCCCTGGGGAACATGCTGACGACGCACTGCCGCAATTGGCGCTGCGACCACATCACGGGGAAGTGCCTCGATACCCGCGGCGCCTGCGCAAACGAAGACGCGCCGTCGCTCGGCGCCCCGCGCTGATGCGCTCGCGCCTGCGGTGCCGACACATCGGACTCCTGCTCGCCCGATGACTGCGCTGATTGCGCCTGGCCGAGAACGCGCGCTTGCTGCGCGCGGAAACCTGGCTGGGCGCTGGGTGCGCCCGCCTGCGCTGGCGCAAAGAAGCCGTGCTCCGCTGGACAGGCAACGTGCCCCCCTGCCTCGGCGCTGTCCTCCGCCCTGGCGGGGCCCCTTCAATACTGCGACAACGCGCCCTGCTCCGGGATCGGCGCCTTGCGGCACACGGCGGCGCAGTGATTCCTCATGCCGCAGACGCGGCCGCTCTTGCTCACGATCATGGAGCATGCGTGCTCCAGATTCTTCGGGCAGGGCTCCGGGCACGACCCCCGATTGAAATTCTTGCACAGCTCCTTTCCGTTCTTGAGGTGGGTCGCCAAACCGGTGCTCGATCCCTTCTGCGCGCCCTTGGGGTTGCGCTGCCCGCGCCCTGCACCCCGCGCCTCCCTGCTGCGCCGCAGGTGGCGGCGGGGCGCCCCGCGGGGCTCCGCGCGCGAAGTCCGCGGCAGGCCGCGCGTCGGGGGCTGGTGCGAAGCCGCGTGCGGGGATCTCCCACATGTGCTCCCTCCTTTCGAAGACATCCTTGATGATCTTTCCCAGCGACATGGACGTGCGGCGATGCCTGCACGCCGGTGGAACGTTCGCGACACTAGCCCCTCGCAGCTCGCGGATCGCGGCGCGCCTGTCAACCCACTGCTGTCGCTCCTCCTCATCCCGCTGTTGCAGCCACTGGAGGGCCTGACTCGGGGGAAGGATGGTGGCACACTGTGCGAGCCTCCTGTGGTAGGCGAGCGCGACATCCAGCGGCACCTGACGCGCGACGGACCGCCGGTTGCCGCGCGCGATGCACCGCGTTCGCGCCTCGACGTAATCCGTGCTGTCGCGATCCATTGCCTCTGGTTCCGCTGGCTGCGGATCCAACTGGACGACGCCTGCACGCGCCGCGCGCGCTGGAAACGCCAGCGTCGCGATGCACAGCGCGCTGTTGCGCCTGCACGCGCGTACGCCAGCATCAGTGTGTGATGCAAATTGACATACGTTGCCACGTCTCTGCGCGGTTCCGTGTCGAATTCGTTCGCTTGCTCCCCTGTGACGAGGACTAGCCCCTCCGCAATGCGCTGCCGCTTCCTCGTCATGGTCAGCTGATGCGTCAACGTCTTCACGCGGAAAACCGAATGCACCTGCGGACGCGCGCGCGAACGACCGCGCGGAGACGCGCGCAGCGCGCACAACGCCAACGCGTGCCTGCAGCAAACGCCGCGACAGCTCCTTTGAGATTCTGCTCACCAAGTGATCGCACGGCTCAGTCTTGACCCCGAACCCCAGGCGATACCTCGCGTAAAACTTGGCGCGGATGTCTTTCAGGTCACTGTTGGGCAGGAGCGCATCGAGGTCATCATCCTCGACGCCACGCTTCTTCCGCGTGTCGGAGATCGTTTCGGCCTGCCTCGCCGCGGTCCAGGCCTGGCGCAGCCGCGACGCTTGAATCCCTGGGAAAGAAAGGCCCTCGATCTTTTCGATTACCTTGGTTTCGACTTCCTGCTCCGACGTGAAGAAGTGTGTGAAATCAGCCATGCTCTCGAGGCCCGCGACTGACACCAAGTGGGTGGCCACCTTGGGGTCCAACCGGAACGCGTTGCACAAAAGCGTAAACAGCTGTTCCGCGGCCTCGCGGCCTCCCGACACAGACGGCAGCTGCAACGCCTGCCCGCCGATCGAAAGCGCCATCGCGCACGTGAGGACAAGTCGCAACGCCTCGCGCCCTCAAGATCGCTGGCACGTCTGCTCGCGCGCTGAAAGCAACGGCTTGCGCATGGCGTGCGCTGGCGTTATTGCGCGCTGCAACATGCGCTCACAAACTGCTGATGCAGCAAAATGCGCGGACATGGCCACGCCGCACCGCTTGTGCGCTCATACTGCGCTTGCGCGGCCCCAGCGCAGGCTGCTGATGCAGCACCCGCGCACGCACGACAACTCTACGATTTCCGCTCGCGTGGGTCGCGCTGGTGCAATATACGCGCGAAAAGCGACCGCGCGGACATGGCCGCGCTGCAATGCTAGTGCGTACGGCCCTGCGCCCGCGCGGCTATCGCAAGCACGGCATCCCGGGCCGCCAGTACCGACGGCTGGCACGCCGCATGTTCCAGCTCATGGGCTGCTCGGGCCAGGAACGCCGCGCGATTCTGGCACCTGCGGCATACCAGATCACCGTCGGTCAATCTTCCGACCCACGTGGGGGAAGCCAACGTGACGTCGCACGCGTTCGTCAGCTGCTTCCCGTTGACTAAGACAGAAGTCTTCTCCGCCTTTCGTCGCTTGCGTGATCTGATATGCGGAGAGCCGCTGACTTCAATGGCGACGTGATGACGCTCATTCGTGACAATCCAGCCTAGCTCGGCGGGAATGCCGATCGTTGCCCCGTCGCAAACCTTGGGCAAAGCGCACAAGCGACGCGCGCGCTCGCCATGCAACGGCGCTGGCGAGAAGACCGCTGCTGATGCGGGGTTCAGTCTGGCTGGCTGCGACGGTGGCGCTGGGTGCGCCTGCACAGCGACCGAACGCTTTGCTCGCATGACGCGGCTTCGGGCGCTATTTGCGCCGGCCTGCGGGGCGCCCGCTACCGTGTCTCCCACGGCCGATGATGGCGCGGAGTGCGCCTGAACGAAACGGCGGCGCTGCACATGCGCACATTACGCTCCCCCCCGGCGCTGCGTGCGCCTGCACCGCTGTTGTTGCTGCAGCGGGCTGCACATACGCCCGCGACGGTGACGCTGCCTGCGCCTGCGCGGTAAAGAAGCGCTCCGCGCACGACGACCCCTGGCGCTGCGTGCGCCCGCCTGCGCTGATGCTGCTGCAACAACGTCGCCCCCAAGGGCTGACGTTGGCGCTGCATGCGCTCGCGCTGCTGCTGCAGCTGCCTGCACATACGCCCGCGACGGTGACGCTGCCTGCGCCTGCGCGGCAAAGAAACGCTCCGCGCGAATTACAAAGCCCCTGGCGCCGCATGCGCCCGCCTGCGCTGCTGCTGCAACAACATCGCCCCCAAGGGGTGACGTTGGCGCTGCCTGCGCCTGCGCTGCTGCTGCCGCAGGGGCAGCTCCAACCGCTGGCGCCGCTGCTCCCGCAAGCTCCCCGGCACTCGGCTGTGCTGCCGGCTTTGCCCGCTCGACGGGCAACGCTGCGGATGACTGGCTGTCTCTTTCCTCATCGCTGCCGATCTCGCCTTCCTCTAGCGCGCGTTTACCAGCGATCCCGCGCAGGCGCTGCGCCCGCCGCGGCCGCTGCGGCGGCTGGGCAGCGCGGCGGCCCCGGCTGCGGAACTGTCGCCTCAGCGCTGCGCTCTGCTCCCCGTAATTGGACGCGGTGAACGCGCCAAACCGCCGGCGCGCCAGCTCTTTCTTTACCGCCGGCGGCAGAAACTTCGCGGGCTCGGGCGCGCCCTGTGCCGCCAGCAGCTGCATCGCGCGGCGCCGCGCGCCCGCTGCGACCTCCTGCGCGGCTGGCGTATCCCACCAAGCTTTGACCCCTTCGAATCGCAGGGGGGCTGGCAAGCTGGCCACGGCCTCGTGAAACACTTCGTGCATGTACAGACGGACGAAACCCTGCTGCTCACGTCTGGTTCCAGCGTATCGCAACGGCATCATGTTCGGGGCGCCGGTGCTTCCGCCACCATCGCGGGGCGTCCAGCCCCCGCCAACAACGCGCTCTGTCCACGGAAGCTGCACGCTTTCCGCCAACGTCGGCATGAAACGCCTCAGGCTGTACGACGTGATCAGTTTCCTCTCGAGCGGTGAATTCAGACAAAGGCCGATCTCAGACTGCAGAAACTTTGAGAAGTGCGCGAGACGCCAGAGCTGCCCCGTATCCTCGTGCGCCGCGAGGCCCCTTGGCAGGGGGGCGCCTTCGCCGGCAGCCCCTGCGCGCTTATGCCACGCGTCCCAGAGCACATCCGCTGCGCAACGCGGCTCCGCGGTCCGCACCAGGCACCAATCGAAACATCCGCCGCGCTTTCCGCGGTAACATCTGAACCAGGCCAGCGCTCTCGTCCTTTCAATCGGGTACGACCGTGACAAATGCTGGAATCTCAGCCACCCGTGGCACAGCGCGATCGCTGCAGCGGCGGGAACCTCGAGCCAACCGCGCTGCGCTGCCTGTGCGGCAAGTATCTGATGCAGGAACGATACCATGCACGGCTCGAGCACGGTCGCTTGCCGTAACTCTCCCCCCGCTTTGCTCGCGGGCCGCGCGTCTGGCTTCATCGCGTCTTCGAGCGCGAACGGCGCACCGAGATACTTCTGCAGCCACTTCAACCGATTCCACACGCGCACCCCGGAGGCTTGTTCACCGCACATATGACATATGAACTCGTCCACCATCAGTGTGCTGCCAGCAGCCTCCGCGGAGAGGGGCTCGAGCTGCCGTGCTCGGGCCCACGCCTCCCATCTCGCCCAGACGCGCAGCGCGTCCCGGACCCCCGCGCTCGCGAAGCGCGCCAGCCTCTTCGCCGCCGCGGACCCGGGTCCGCACAAGCGCTGCGCCTGGCCCTCGGGGAGCCCCCGCGCCAAGCCGTGCGCTGGGCCCCAGGACGCGGACAGCTGCACCGCTGCCCCGGCCGCGCTGGCGCGCTGCGCGGCGTCCGCCTCCTCTGTGCCGGAGGCGCTCGCCGCCGCGCGCTGCACGCCGCGCCCCCCTCTTGGCGGGCGCAAGCCAGGGAGGACCATCGCCAGCGCGCGTGGCGGAGCGTCCGCCTTGCGCGCGGGCGGCGCTGACTGCGCCTCGCGGGCCACCCTGTGCCACGCTGCCACTCGCGGATGCCCCGCGAGCTGCCGAGCTCGCCGCCACGCCTCCTCCTGTCCCGAGGCCGCGGCTGCCTCCACCGTGGTAAAGAAAAATGCCAGGTCGTCGACGTCCTCGACGCCTACCTCCCTGACGAAACACCAGAAGCGAGCGCGCGCGTCGACCGGCAACGTGCTCCCTATGGCGGCCAATCCACATTCGCCTGCCATCGCCACCGCCAAGCAAATGGAAGCGAAGCGCAAAAGACAGCAGAGAAACCCGAGAAAAATCAAATCGCAAGGTGAGCGCGGCCACCGCGGCCCGTCGCCCCCCCTTCCTCGCAGCCCCTCGGCGCGGGCAGCGAAGGGGGGGGGCGCCCCCCCCCTCTCTTCGCCCCTGCGCCCCGAGCTGCATGCGCGGGCGACGTTTCCAAGGTGTCCGCGCGCGTACATTATGAAGCACTCACCCATGCCTGCCCGGGCCTAAAGTGCACCCAGACGAGGGTCAATCAAAAGACCCCCTGGGATTCCCAAAGGAACTTCGGAAACCGCCCATGGGGCTCGGCAGGGGGGGCACGAAGCCCCCGTGGATAAGGGCCGCGCACCTGTGACCATCGGCGCTGAATAGCGAACGCACGTCGTCGGAGCCCACGGCGCGCCGCGCGACGCGTAATCTGAAGGGCGCCGCACGGCAGCGGTTGATCTGCGAGCGCTTCGCCAGTCCGCGCCATCGCGATCGCCGCGCGGCGCAGCGCGCGATCGCGCTGTTCCAGATTGGCGGCGGGACCAGAGGCGGCACCTAAGATTCAGCAAGAGCGGCCACGAGCCACCGCGACGCAGCGGCTCGCGGGCGGCCGCGGACCGCGTGAATGATGGCGGCGATCGCGGCCTGGCGGCGCAGCGCCCACTCGCGCGAACGATCGCACCACTCGGGCCGCGCGCGGCCCCGACCAGCCTTCGCGGCGCCGGCACCGGCCAGAGAGATTGCACCATGCGCGAGGCGCCCCCCCCAGGCGCGCGCCCCCGCCCGGTCGCGCGGCGAAGCAACGCAGGGCCCTTGGAAAGCCTGGAGAAGGCCGCCGCCCAAGCCAAGACCTTGCGACGCTAGCGCCTCGGAGCGCGCGCAAGCCCCCGGCGCGCGGGCGGCCCGCGGTCGCTGCGCCATTGGCTGGAGCAGCCCTGCAGCAGCGGGGCCCTGCGCTTGTTCGACGAGGTCGTAAGCGCTGCCGCGCGCAGCGAGGCCCCGTGCCACTTCGCGCGCCGGGCGGAGCGCCGCACCTCTTCGACGCATCGACGCCGAAGAGCTGATCCACGGCACCGCCCTCCAAAAAAGTCGCGCGACAGGCGCGGCGCGCCGTTCCAACCGCAAACGCGGCGCCGGGAAAGCTGCGACCTCCGTCACGCGATCGGCGCGACGATAATACTCATCGCCTGGCACGCGCCTCGCGCTTGAGTCTGGGCTCGCACAGCTCCTGGCGCGCTGGGCTGCGCTGCCGACGACGCCCTTGTCGCAGTGGGGCCTTCCGGTCCGCGCCGCGGTCATAGCCGAGACCCCGTTGCGCGCGGAGGGCGCGCCCCCCTGTCGCGACTGCCGGCGCTGGCGCTCGCGGCCTGCTAGGGCCCGCCGCGTATGCCGCGAGTGCGTGCGCTGCTCGGTACATTGCCTCCCCTTCTTTCAGCTGACGCAGAAGACCGCTGCGCGCCTGATGCGAAGAACGCGCGGGCGAAGCGATCGCGGCAACCAGCCATCGCAGCAAAGACTTGCGCGCGAGATCAAAGGTCGCAGTCCGCATATCATAAAGCGCGGGCCAATGACTCTCGGCACCAGCAGTGCTCGCTCAATGCCGAACGACCCCGCCAAGCTCCGCCCAGCGCGCTCGCGCCGATCATGACGAAACCTTCCGGTCGAAGCTGCGCCAGCCACTGCCGCGACACCGACAACTCGCGCCGCGGGCCTCGCCTTTTCTCGAAATGACCGTACGCGATGCGGAAACTTTCCTCGATCGCGCTTGCCTCGTCCGTTGGGCTCTGGCCCCGCGGGAACAATTGCGCCGCGGTCAGATTGTCCGCGCCGCCGAGGAGCAACCCAGCGGCGACGCCCGCGCACGCGAAGGGAAGCAAACAACGCATCGCACTGACAAGGTCGACTCGGCCACTTTGCGCGCGAGCGGATGTGCTTGGGTCGGTTCGATCGGCGCGGAAGCGCGCCCCCGTGCGCCCGCTGGCGGAGGCGGCGGCGGCGGCCGCTCGCGATTTGGACAGGCGTCGCTGGGCGCGGCCAGCACGCCGGTTCGACCTGCGCGCCCTCGCTGTTAGGAGCCAACGTGGAAGGGAGGGAGAGCCGCATAGACATCGGCGCTTGGACTCGCCTCACAAGGCAGCGCACGAACCGCGAGATTGACAGCGCTGGCGACGGCGCCGCGCTTCCATCGGGCCCAGGCCCAAAACGTTGCCCCGCCCCCTCCTCGACTGCGGGGCTCGCTGGAACATCGGGCACTCTTGCGGCAGAATGCAACAGAGAGCTTTTCGCACTTGCGGCGGGGCTGGGATGGGGACATAGGACGCGGCTGCAAGGCATGATGGGGAAAGGCAAAGGATGCGAGCGGCAACTGGAGGACGCGTCGCCCGACCGATTCTGGACCCCACAGTGGAGGCTCGCCGGGGCTAAGAGTTATACTGATGGTTGTCTGGCTAATACTGAGCGCTCGCGAGGCGCGGGCCCAGGTGGAGCGGAACGCCTGGGCGCGCGTGCGTTCCCGCGGGGCCGCCCGCGCCACGAACGGCGCAGCGAGCGTTCCGTCGTCTCGCAGCTGAGCCCTGCCGCCTCTCTTGCGCCGAGCGAACTCACGCGCGGGCCGGCGCCCAGCGCTGGCTGGAAGAATGAAAGCTTCCGCGGGCTACGGCAGCGCGCGCGCCCGCGCGTTGCCAGAGCGCGCCGATGGCGCGAGCAGTGCCCTGTCGGGACCGTATACGCGAGACGCGCGAGGGACGACGATGTTGACCTGTCCGCGCGACCCCGAGGTATCGTCCGATATTTCAGAAGAGACAGGCATCCCCGTCAAGTGAGTTATGATGGAGCCAGCCAGGCGCTGGAGCTCCACATCGCTCGCCGGGGATTTCATCAACCGCGACGCCGACGCTAACACGCCCATGGCTTTCATCATGGGCTTGGCGCTTGGCTCGGAAACTTCATGTAATAACCGAACCAGCGCGTCGCGCGCCTTCCTCCCCCCCGCCCCTAGACGCGGCGCGAGCTCTGATATTTCCTTTCTGAGAGCGTCCAGGCGAACGGTCTCCGCCTCGATGTCGGACACGTCTTGCCCGCTTCGCGCCGACGCGAACGCCGCTGCGCTCGCGCGTCGCAGCCCTCGAGCCGACGCGCGCACGAGATGGCGGCGCGCGCGTCGACCGCGGCGCGGCCCGCGCGAGGGAGCCGCACGCAGCGCGCGCGCGCCCCTGCGCGGAGGCGCGCCTTCTTGGGCTGGCGCGCTCGGACTGCCGAAGAACTTCGGAGAGGTGCCCGCGATTTGCATGCCGCCAACCCCCTCGCGCATTGCAGTGCCGTCGCGGCGGCGCGCCGCGTCTGCGACGCTGAGTGCGCGGCCGCTCCTCTTGCGAAGCGCCGAGAATCTGGTTCGCCGCGCGCGCAAACTTGGACGCCATGTCTGCGTCGGCTTCAGCCTCGCCGACGAGATGGGCAAGTCGACCGCGGAAGCTTTGCGCGTCTGCAAAGCCCCCCCCCCCGCGCAACTCGCCGCGCCCCAGGGCGCCGACCCCCTGGGCTGGGCGAGGCGCCGCAACTCGCGGCGCCGAGCGGCTGCTCGTAGAGCCGCCATCTCGCGCTGGCTAACGACGCGAAGCGCGGGGCGAAAAGCAAATCTGGGCGTGCCCTGCGCTCCTTGGAAGGCGCGGACGTCTGGCCCGCTGCCGCTCGTATCCTGCCACGCAAGCGAAGGCCGCGCGCGCGCGGCAACGCGGTCGCGTTGGTCTGACCCGCGCGGCGAAATCATATTGCACGCGCGCGGCCTCGGCCAGGCCAGTTCGGGCGCTCGCGCAATCCACTTCGGGGCAGCCCGCGAGCGCCGTCGCGGGGCGACCGCCCGCGCCCTGCTCGGCAGCCGCAGCGGCGGCGCCATGGAGCTGCACGAGCGCAGCGACGGCACACAACGCGCAGAGAGCCATGGCTGCAGCCCCCCCCCCCTCGGAAAGCGCAGGCCTAAAGGCAAAAGAACCTGCCGCAATTCCGCCCCGGGCCGCGCGGGCTGATGGCGTGTGCAAGTTTCTGCGTGCGCAGGACGCTTCGCCCATTCGGAGTCGGACCCGCGGCGTAATCGTTGAGCTTCGCCTTAAATGCCAGCGGCCGCCCTGCCTCGCTTGTCAAACGCTTGCGCGTCGCATCAGGCACTTGCCCCACAGGTTGCTGCATGCGTCCAACGCGCGCGCGCCTGCGTATGTCTGCGCGCTTCTTGCGGGTGGGCGAGCTCGAGGGGGCGGGAATCGACTGGGAGCGGAATCCTGGTTTCCCTGAGCCACCGTCAATGCACTTCGCCCTGCGCTTCAAGAGATTTACTAAGAGCGCGGCCCAGAAAAAAAGCAGGTTGCGCTGTCGCACTGCACTCTACGCTGGAGTTGCATGCGCCTCGGCAACAATGCACCGCCTCGGCGAGCGGAGAAGATTCGCTCCCCCATCGCTGCAGACCACGGGGTACAAGCTCGACACTGGGCGCTGCGTCCTGGGCGGCGTGCCCCTGTCCAGGATGCGTCGCGATGCGCCCAGACTTCTCCGCGCGCAATGGGCCCCTTAGCACGTGCTAGATTGGGGTCCACAGAGAACACTGCGATGTTCTGGGCCCACGCGCCAAAACCAGACGACAAATCCAACATCCACGGATCACGCGTGAAATTTCGCGGCTTGGCACCGCGCGCGCACGGTCGCCACTTCGCGCGTTTGCGAGCAGCCGCGCATAATGCAGCGCTCGACGCAGCGCGCAGCGATGTGAGACCAGGAGGACGATGCGTTTCCTACAGGGACGCCAATGAAAGGGACTGCTGAGACCGCGGCGTTGCATCTCATACTGACTTCGAGAAGTGCGAGTGACAGCGTCATGCGGCGACCCTGTGAGTGAAGCCGAGCAGACGTGAGAAATCGGCATCGCCGGTCTCAAAAGTTCCTTTCCCTGGGGTCCCTGTTGGAACCACGTGAGAAGGCGCGCTAGCATCGGACTGCGGCAATGGAGGAAACCAACCATGGAACATACGCGCGCATCGCCCTCGCCCTCGCGCCCCGTGGCGCAGCGAGGCCTGGTCAGCTGGGAAGCGGTGGAACACGTTTTTCCTGCTCGGCTGCAGCCCCCCCCCCGCCCCCTCCCCATGCAGACGTTCGCGCTGCCGGCGCCGTCGCCATTGCCAACCTGGACGTTATTGCAACTACCTGCTGTGGGTGCTCCTGCTGACACCCTTGCGCTTCTGCTTCAACCTCCAATTGAACTGATGATGCTGCAGCCGACGCGGCTGCAACTGCAGCTGCAGCTGCGCCAACTGCGGTCGCTCATGCAGCGCACTGGCTGAGCGTTGTGCTCGCGCAGGTGAAGACGCATCTCGCGGCGGCCGGGTAACGACCGCAGGGCTCACCGTCGCCGACTATATGTCGCCCCCGAAGTCATCCGAGGCACAGGACGGCATCGCTGCGACGAGGCAACGGACACGGGGCCCCTCGAAGCCATCGCGCAGGTCTGCAACGAAGTATGACCAGTGACGTTCATCGTCGGCGCAGGCGCCACTTCCTTCGCGCGCGGCGCTGCCTGCGCGGCCACGGCGGCGGCCGCCGGCGCGGCGGCATCGTCGCCAGAGGCCGTCGCGATCATGGCCGAGGACCTCGTCTTTGAGGAGCACTGCGGCCCGTTGCGCGCAACAAGGAACGCAGGAAGTGCCAGCTGGAAGCGCTGACAGCCGCGCGAGCGCGCGAGGTCGACGGCGACCGCGGCGACGCGGACATTGATGTTTTCAGCATCGGCAGGAACTGCTGTTGGCATTCGCCTTTTCTTCCGACGCGATCTCGATTGGGCCGAGGCGCCCTGGAGCCAGGCTCCCGCCCTAGCAAATTCGAACGACCGCGACCCCGCGCCCCGCAGGCGATCGCGCGCGCGCAGCTCGCAGCGAGCCCTCGCCAATCGCAGCAACGCTGCCTTCCCGAGCACGAACGCCACTCGAAAGCAGCGTCTTCAACTCGCGATTGCCAGCTCGTCGCCGCGCAGCGCATACAAGTCGCGCAGGACACTCGCAGACCGATCGCGGGAACATGAAGGTGGCGCGACGTCGCAGCGCGGCGCTGCCATTGCCCGAACGCTCAGCGAGCTCCGCGAATTCTGCGCGGTGCCGGCGCTGGCCGGTGAATCGCAGACAACCCGGCCCGGCGTGGCCTAACGGAGCGGGCTCTCGTCGGCGGGCTCATCGCTCCCCAAGATCGGGACCCCAGGGGTCGGGGCGTCGTCGTACGACGCTGGGTCCTCCGCGGAGTCCATGCCTCCTGGCCCATGGTCGGGAACAGGGCAATCGCTCGGGAACGGGTTCGCCTCGTCGAAACTTGAATACTGCGGAGGCAATCGATGCTTCCACGGCGACGCCGCTTCGCCGCGCGCGGCAAGTCCATCGACGGGCCAGGCCGTGTTCCAATAAAACGCTTGCGCACACACGGGCGGCACAGACACCATCGAGCACGGGCCAGCGACGTCGCTGATCCAAAACCCAGGGCACGTGATCAGCGGCAGGATGCAGAGGTGGAGGCACATTGGTGCCCGGCCGCCCGCGGCGATGGGCTCTTCGCCCGACTGCGGCACTGTGCATCGGGGAAATATAGAAGAACACTGCATGCTCATGAACGCCGAGAAGCACCTGCGTCGCCCGAGCAACAGCGGCCGATCTAGGGCGCCCCGCGGCGACGTCGGAGGCGAGATGCGCTGCCCCGCGCTCTATACCTCGGCCGACGGCGCGACCCGGGGCGGGGCCGAACCAGAAGCGCTTCGACGGAGAGTGACATCGCGTCGCCCGTCTTCCCCACCTTTTCCGCGTAAGCGGCGGGGAAGCCAGCAATGATGCCGTCCAGGGCGGAATCCTTCGGCCCCCGGGCGCGCCGGCGCGCGCTGGCCCAGCGCCGCGACGCGCGTCGTCGGGTCGCCGC